CGGCCTCCTGGTTTATAGAATGATGCGCAATCCCTGAGCCATGCTGGCTGGGCTGATTCTTATTTAAATAATCCTCCCTTGTCCATTAGGTATTTGACCTTCACCCTCAACGTACAATCTCTTGAATCTCAGTTTCCTCTCATGCAGCATGTTGTCAAGAACCCAACTCCTTAGAGTGGTTGTGGGATTGTGGAGGACCTGGAGGGAGCCATCCTGGTTTATTTCCACACCTGACTAAGCCTGTGAGGTGAGTCATCAGCAGTGTTGTTCAGAACTCCGTAGGAATTGGATGGTTGTTATACCCACGTACAAATCCCATCTGCTCCTGATGCTGGAAAGGCTATGCACACTGTTTCTGAAACATGTGGCCACCCCTCAGTGCCCAAAAGGGAAGTGGAAGTTCCCCAGATGGAGAGGGAAGCAGAACACACAACCACTGCGAGAGTTGAGTGGCCACTGGTGTCTGGGTACAGCCAGAACTCATCAGCCTGGCTGTACCCAGAATGCATTTGGTACACATTTGTGTGGACAAGAGAGGGACCCAGGGTGGCCACACACAGGGAGAGGAATGGACTCAGGGGGAATGTTGGAGCAGGGTTGTCCCCTCCACATGCTTTGGATACAGGCACTGGGGTCTCTCTACCCATGGACTCAGCCCATGTTCAGCACTGAGCCATGTCCTCTGTGTGTGAGTGAAATGGAATCAATCCATTCTAGCCGGGCATGGGCGTCTGTCCAGGTGTGAGTGTGAGGCTCACCTTTGGCGTGGGCTCTGCTGGGCACATCACAGTCAGATGCCAACTTAGGGAGAGAGGACACCATGGGGCAGGGCAGATCCCACTCTCCACCTCTTTGCATCCTGAACATCAGGACAGGCCTGGAAGAGACTCTCTGTGGAGAAGCAGGCGTGTGGGGAGGGGACCTTCCAATAGGAATGGAGGTAAAGGGAAATCCCAGGGGGTTAGAGGACGGAAGGGCTTGCCTCCCATGCACCCTCCCCTTCCTCCCCACCCTGCCCTGCCTGCCTGTCCTTCCTTCCCCTCCCCTGCAGGATGGGGGCACCATGGCTGTGCCGGCCCAGCTCTCCCTGACACAGTCATCAAGTGGGACCCCTTCATGTGGAAAATGCTACAGACAGGGTGGTGTGGGCCATCCCTGAGGGTACTGGCTGCTGCTGCTGCTGCTTTCCTCAACATATCAGGCTTCCAGATCCGATACTGGGAAAGGTTTGGGATTTCGCTGACCCAGAAGGCAAAGATGTCCTGAATAAAGGGGTATTGTTCATTGCTCTGTGTCTTGTGCATGTACCCAGAATGCATTGCAAGTGTCTTTGAGGAACTTGAACCTGGCTGTTTCTCCACCAGCACTTCACCACTCCCATAGTGCCTTGCTGGACAGCGGGACCTCTGCAACGGTGTCCCGTGGGCTGTAAAATCCGAAGACAAGGCCAAGCATGGTGCCATTTTTTATCGTTTTGAGCCCTATACGTAGATTCCTGTCTGTGATAAAGGGGAACCAACATCGCTCACCTCGAAGCTGCTTGTGGCTGCCCTTGGAAGCCTTTGGGAGCTGAGTGGTGTGGGCCCTGGTGCTATGCTCACAGACATGAGTCTGTAGGTGCCTCGTGCTTAGTAAAGGGCACATTGGAGAAAGCATCTATGCCCATGTCCTGGCCCCCAGCCTTGTGCCACCTGGTGAGAGGAAAACATGGGCTGTATCCCCTGTAGAAAATCTTAATAGGATGGCATCTTCCTGGAAACTGATAAGGACATGGATGAGTTTGTGTCTGGATTGGAGGTTTGTGAGATCTTCCTGGAGACAGGTATATCTTCTACCTGACTAGCTGACATTTGGGTGTTATATGACCTTGTGGGAAACTTTCAAAGGATATGTTTGCTTTGGCCAGGGGTGGGCAACCCCTGGCACGTGTTCCAAACATGGCACACCAGTAACTTTTGCTGGCACGGGAAACCCTCTCTTATAGTTTTCCATTTACAATTGTGAACCCTCAACTCAGGTGTGCGTCCTCACCTGGAGTTGCATCATATACTGTGTTTTTGTCGCTCGAATGAATTTTATTATTTCTTCAAGGTTCTTCACATACGTACACCTTCAGAGATATCAAGTAGGCGTAACATGTTCTCAAAAAATTAGGGTTGGCACGCAGAAGAATTTTGAGTCAGAGATTTTGCTGGTTTTGGCACGCACTCACAAAAAGGTTTCCCACCCCTATCTTTGGCTTTTCACTCAATCAATCAGAAGTTACGAAAGGGCATTGATCCTCCTCACATTTTTACTCCTGAGACTCTTCCACCACCAGACAGGGCCGGTTTACCAAAGAGCGTCATAGGATCCAGTCCTGCTACAGATTTATCTGCTATTAAGGAGCTAGATGCCCTGAACCCTGACACCATTGACTTAAGAGGGAAATGAATAATTGCAACAGGACCTTAAGGAGAAAGAAGATGCTCTATCTTAAAAAATTCTCGCCTGAGGACATGCTTAGAGAGAGGGAGGAGAAAGGGAGACAGAGAAACATGGATGTGAACGAGAAATATTGATCAGTTTCCTTCTGCAGGTGCCCCAACCAGAGACTGAACCCTCAACCCAGGTGTGCGTCCTCACCTGGAGTTGAACCAACAACCTTTCAGTGCACAGGATAATGCTCAACCAACTGGGGGAAAGATAGACGGTTAAACAGAGAATGGCGAGGTTCATGGTCTTCAGGATGAACTTCAAAGGGCAAATGCTAGTCTGCAAACACTACAGGCACAGAAACAGCAAGGACAGGGTCTCCTTAATGGGCTCCATGAGCAGGAATCCCAGCTGCAGGAGCAACTCAGTGAAGTCAGAGGGAAATGCACTGAGGAGGCCCAGCTGGTCACATCCCTGGAAGCTGAAGGAACTAGTTAAGAACTGCAGATTTCATCTTCTCAGGAAAAGCTGGCCAAACTATAGGGAAGAGTGGAGTAGCCTTCAGCAAGGAATAGCAGGATTGGGGGAGAGTGTGGAGTCAGGCCAGGGCCACCTTGGACCTCCTCAGTGGTTCCTGCATGGTTCATAGCAGGAAATCAGTTCAATGCAAATGGATGAAAAGGAAAGGGATGGAAAGGAAAGAGCTGGAATCCCATAGTAATCAATGAAATTGGTGCAGTCACTGATCATCAGAGAGATGCAAAATAAAAAACAATGAGGTATCACCTCACCTGTCAGAATGCCTATCATCAACAAATCAACAAATGACAGTTGTTGGTGAAGTTGTGGAGAAAAGGGAACCCCGGATACTGCTGGTGGGCTGCTTACTCTTCTTCAAGATTCCCTGCGTGGGGTGGCAGTATTGAAAGTGCAGAATCAGAAAATTAAAAATGTTATTGCTGTTAGACCCAGCGATTCCACTTCTGGAAATATATTCTAGGAAACCTGAAGCACCAATCAGAAAGAATGTATGCACCCCTATGAGCAGCACAATTTACAATAGCTAAGATCTGGAAAAGCCCAAGTGCCCATCAGTACATGAGTGGATAAAAAAGCTGGTATATATACACCATGGAATACTATGCAGCTGTAGGAAAGAAGGATTTCTTACCCTTTGAGGCAGCATGGTGGGATCTGGAGAGTATTATGCTAAGTGAAATGAGCCAGTTAGAGAAAGGTAAGTATCACATAATCTCACTTGTGTGTGGATTCTAAGGAACAATATAAATTGAAGAATAAAACAGATCCAGAGACATAGAAGCACGGTACACACTGTGGAATTTCCAGGGAAGGAGGAGGGGGCTGGGTTGGTGAGGAGAAATTAACTGGGCGCCTTATATGCCTATATGCACAGCTCAGGGACACAGACATCAGTGTGGGAACAATAAAATGGGTGCAGTCACAGAGCATCAGAGAGATGCAAAATAAAAAACAATGAGGTATCACCTCACCTGTCAGAATGCCTATCATCAACAAATCAACAAATGACAGTTGTTGGTGAAGTTGTGGAGAAAAGGGAACCCCGGATACTGCTGGTGGGAATGCAGACTGGTGAAGCCATCATGGAAAACGGTGTGGAGTTTCCTCAAATAAGTAAAAATGGAATTGCCTTTGGCCTAGTGATCCCACACCCAGAATATATCCTAAGAACCCTGAAACAGCAATCGGAAAGAACATATACACTCTGGTGTTCATAGAAGCCCAATTCACAATAGGTAAGATCTGGAAACAGCCCAAGTGCCCATCAGTACATGAGTGGATAAAAAAGCTGGTATATATACACCATGGAATACTATGCAGCTGTAGGAAAGAAGGATTTCTTACCCTTTGAGGCAGCATGGTGGGATCTGGAGAGTATTATGCTAAGTGAAATAAGCCAGTCAGAGAAAAACAAGTATCACATGATCTCATTTCTATGTGGAATCTAATGATAATCTCACTTGTGTGTGGATTCTAAGGAACAATATAAATTGAAGAATAAAACAGATCCAGAGACATAGAAGCACGGTACACACTGTGGAATTTCCAGGGAAGGAGGAGGGGGCTGGGTTGGTGAGGAGAAATTAACTGGGCGCCTTATATGCCTATATGCACAGCTCAGGGACACAGACATCAGTGTGGGGAAGGCAGGTGTGGGGAGCGGTGGCTCATGAGAAGGGACTGGCAATGCAGCTGCCAAGAATAAATTTGTCCTGAATCCTACAGTGATGGACACTCCAGTGAGGAAGACCCAGTGACTGTAGCATCCAGGTCCCTGGCAGATCCAGGTGCAGATACAGACTTGGATCGTTTCCAGTTTTATATTTTTGTTGGCCGATCCTTTTGGGGAAATTTGTCTATTAGGAGGCGATCCTTCAAGGGTTCAGAATCTATGTACACAACAGCTTTCTCAGGCGATCTTCTCCTGACCCTGGGGGCACGTGTGGTGTTGAGCCTTTCAGTGCAGCCGGCATCAGCAGTGCCCCTTTGGTAGAAACCCTGAGGCACAGTGACCCTACCGCTCCTGGTGGAAGGTTGTTGTTGCAGCTAGTGATTGGCCCACAGACCCATTTACCAACATTAACAATGGTGGTAACTATTCCAAATGGAAATGCATGTATGACCTCCAGACTGATTGATGTAAATGTATACAACAAATGAATCTGAATCAATTTAAAACTGGTCTGGAAAATTTATAAAAAGCTACTTAAAATGAACCTTATGCATTACTTAAATAAAATGATGCCAATAATTCCAAATTACTTATTTATTATCAAAATATTAGGACTTCTGCTCAAGATAGCAGAGGAAGTAAAGGAAGTACTGAAATCCTCCCATGACCACAGTGTAATCACAACTAAACTACAGAAAAATCATCATTCAGAACCATATGAAATCCAGTTGAACAGAAGTTCACAAGTAAGGATATAAAGAAGCCGCACGGAGATGGTATGAGGGTGAAGATGTGTAATGGGCTGGACCACATGGAGCAGCTATCTGGAGTTCTTTTTTTTTAAATTAGTTCTTCTTGGTTTAAAAATAATTTCACAGCCCAGCTAGTGTGTCTCAGTGGTTGAGCCTCAACCTATGAACCAGGAGATGACCAGTCCGATAGGGCAAATGCCTGGGTTGTGGGCTACCTTCCCCAATAGGGGGCATCAGGAGGCAGCTGATGTTTTTTCTCTCCTTAAAGTTTCTATCTTAGAATCCCTCTATCTTCCTCTTTTAGTGAAATCAATAAAAACACAGTTAAAAACACTAAAAAGGAATCCCAGGGTTATGAAGATACCATTTTGTTGGCATGGATGTGACCCAGCATGAAGGGGTGTATAGATGTGAATTCAAACCAGCTATGTGGGATTCAACCTCACATCAGAGGTTGAGAACAGAAGGGCAGTGGAGGAGAGTGAGCGAGGACAGGGAGGGAGACTGGGTAAAACAGAGAGCACCCCATGTGGAAGGAGGAGGAGTCCCCTACAGGGACATGGCCCACATGCTTCTGCACCCAAATCCTGCCTACCACGTCTTCTCCCCTGAACATTCTCAGCAGACAGTTTCCCCAACTGTGGTCCATATTCTCTTTCAGCACCTCCTGGGGTCATCAGATGGGCTCCAAGGCTCCCCCACTCTGAACGGTGCATTGTTGCCTCTGTGTTCCCATCCTGGCTGCATCGCCAGTCCTTCTGGTTTCATTTTGAGCCTGAAATAGCAGCACCCCGAGAACCACCAGGACCAAGCCAGCCACGCCCATCCGGATGAGATTCTCCACTGTGTAGTCTTGGGGTTTGGAGTCTGGAAAATGTGGATGCAAAGGTCACAATGGTCAGGGCAGACCCAAATCTCCAGGCTTCTGGTGTCTACCCTGGTTCCCACCTCCCGTTGACATCAGCGTCCCTGTGATGTCTGAACTCAGCACCTGCTTTGAGTCACCTTGATAAGAGTTAGTTGTGCCCAAGAACTGAGGGTGATGGGAGAAACGAATGAGAAATAACTAAGAGCTGTGTGTTCTGTGTTCAGCCTGAGACACAAGACCCATGAGCTTATTCCCCTACAGCTGAGATATCCCTGTTCTCAACAGCTGGGGACCCAGGGACCATGGAGGAGGGGTTGGTGTCAGGGGTTCCTGAATCTCAGGAGCATAAAGGGGTGAAAATCTGAGCTGGGCTTTCTTCACCCCAACCTGCCCAGGTCCCTCCACTCTGGGGTCCGCATTTTCATTGTCACCTGGAATTGTTCACCTATTGATTCTTCTATTAACTCATTTATTTATTTATTAAAAATATTTTATTTGATTTCAGAGAGGAAGGGAGAAGGAGACATAGATAGATACATCAATGATGAAAGAGAATCATTGATTGGCTGCCTCCTGCACACCCCCTACTGGGGACTGAGCCTACAACCTGGGCATATGTCATTGGCCGAAATCATACCTGGGATCCTTCATTCCATAGGCTGATGTGCCATCCACTGAGCCAAACCAGCTAGGATTTAGCTCATTTATTCTACAATTATACAAATGATTACCTACAGTGGTAGATATATTTACCAGATGAAAATTGTGGGCATATGGATGCTAACGGTGTGAGTTTTTTTAAATTTAAAAGTACAAGGAAGGTCATAACCAAGGACATCCACACTGCTGGCTCAAACTTTAAGTCACAGAGATAACCCCCCTAAATTCATTATTGAGTGAGCACCCAAAGTAGGAAATCACGTCAATCTCTTTCCCAATTTTGCTATAAAACCGATATTTAAACAAAATTATGACCTCTCCTTGTTACAGTGATCCATGCAATACCTCTAATGTCCACAATTCAGAAAATGAACATGGATGATCAGCGTCAGTCAGTTGGGTTAATATCCAAATGGGTGACACCAAGAAGCCTTTGTAATGTGTGTCATGTGGTTAAACGTCAGAAAAAAGATAATTATGGGGGATGTGTATCTGTCAGGAAAAGAGAGCAGTCCTAGCAAACCCTAATGAACAGAAGAGGCGCTAGTGGTGGTGGTGGGGTGTGAACCCCTCGTTCTTGGTCAGAGCTAATGTGCCAAAGCCGGCCTCTGCTTGGCACTGGAGGGTCAGGCTGTGTCCAGCACCAGCGAGCCTGGCTGGGCCTTGTGCACACCTGGGAGGAGGGGACAGTGGCACCAGGGGATACCCCACATCGCCCACTGGGCTGCAGTAAGAGCTCTCACATGTCCCTCCCTGAGCCTCCTGCCTGTGGGTCTGTTCCCAAGAGGCCAGTGTCACTGATCCCCATGAGCCCAAGGTCCCAATGGACACACAGCAGGCCCCTGACCCCGATGACCTCAGGGCCCCAGTGGACACACAGCACAGTCATTTTGGGCCCAGGAAACAGATGGGGTTGCACAGGGGTCTGTCCCTCACCTGTGATCTCGATGTGCAGAGGGGCACTGGGCTGTGACCACACGTCGGGGTAGGAGCTGGAAGAACCATAGCATCTGTAGGTCCCCCCATGGGAGGGGCTCACGGGGCCCAGAGGGAAGATGGCCCTCCATCTCCCATCATAGGTCCTGGGTTCTGCTTCCATGTGTCCAGGTGGGTCAGCCCTTCCCTCCTTCAGCAGATGGAAAGGGCCCGATGTGAGGTTAGAGCTACAGGAGAGGGACACGTTCCCTCCTGAGGCCACCACAGGGCCTGGCTGGGCTGAGAGGGAGGGTGCACCGCCCAGTCCTGAGGGAGGAGAAAGGGTCTGTGTTAAAGGGACCGTCACCCTCAGGCCCAGGTGTGTTCAGTGAGGGGCGAGGTCCCCTGAGGCCACATTTTACTCCTTCTGCCTGCGACCTGGAGCCCACAGTGGGGAGGGGGCCCATTTCCCTTACCTGTCACCACCAGGAGCAGGGGGTCACTCCGCTCTGAGAGTATGTTCCCAGTGGTGTAATATGCACACTGGTACAGCCCTGCATGGTGTGAGGTCGTGGCTTCAATGAGGAAACCGGCCTTGTTGCTGGAGTCCTGTGGGATCCTCTTATCCAAGGGCTCAGAGCCCCCCTCTTTATACAGAACATAGGCACTAGCCTGCAGAGACCCCTGACACCAGGTGGTCACACAGCTCCCATTGGTGACGATGGGGCCTGGGTCAGCCCAGATGGAGGGTTTGGGGACGTCTCCTGGAAACGAATCAGACATGAAAGCTGCTGGGAACCTTTATCCTTCTCATTCTGTCATGAAACAGCCAGTGATGCCATTTAATGAGCACCTACTATTTGGGAGGTTCCTGCTGGGGTCTTTCACTCATCTCTCACCTCACAGCAGTCATGCATCAGGGATTGCTGACCGCCCCCCCTCCCATCTGTTTTGCTGAGGCTCAGAGAGGTTAATCACATGCCCCAGGTCACCCAGCCAGACAGGGCAGGGCTGGGAAGGGAACCTAGGACTGAGGGTTTCCTGTGTTGTCCTATCGCTGGCCCCCAGGGGACACTGGCTCCATGCTCTGTGCTCCTCTGCAGGGGCCTGTCCACGTCTCATCTGGAGCTGAGGGTCCTTCCTCATTACCCGCCCCCAGCACAGCAGGGACAGGAGCGGCAGGGTGAGGGGTGGACTCTGAGTCTCTCCCGGTTCCATCCCCATTCTGCAGTCCCTGAAGCCCATCGGGAAGGTCAGGCTGGGCTGGGGCTCTGCCCTCCTGAGCTCTGTGAGGCCCTTATGTCACCTCATCTCCCAGCAGCCTGTGAGCAGGGTGGGACCAGGGATGAGCAGACAGGAACCGGACACTCAGAGGAGAGAAGGGACCGCCCAGCCCCACAGCCGGAGCAGCAGAGCCAGGAGCTGAGCCAGGGCTGATCCACCCTGTTCCCTCCTCTGAGCTGAGCCTGAGTTGAGGGGTAGGACTGGGTGCCCGTACCCTTGTCCTGCCTGCCTCTCCCTATAGTGTCACCAATATTGAGACAAAGGGGACAGGCCCCATAACATCATGTCCTCGGGGCTTCCCTGTGTGGCCCTTCTCCCAGGAGGTCAGGGCCAGAACTTACAGGAAATGTAACTCTGAAGAAGGATTCTCTTTTACAATCGGAGACACTAGGCCCAAACAGGGGAAGGGCGGGTCCATGTGTGAAACTTTAGAGGGGCCTGAATTCCCACATGGCTCAGCCGCTGTCCCCATGGAGGCACCCATCACCTCCCCGCAGAGACCCCCACTTCCCCTCTGTGGGCCTGACTCCCTGGGTTGGGGAGACCGAGCCTCAGAGCCCCTGGGGTGCCTTGGTTTCCTGAAATCTGTCCCTGCTCCTAGCAGCCTTAGGACACAGCCTGCCCTTAGTGCTTGGGCGGCATTAGGTCCTCAGACTCAGAACTGCCCAGGGGTGCTGTCTCCCTCTGAACAAAGAGGAACACGTGGGAGGGTGGCTGGGTCCCAGAGGAACACTCTGGGAAGGATAGGAAGAGGGTGAGAGTCTGGGGCTGACCATGGGGTCCCGCATCACAGAGTCCTCACTAAGACCCTCCCAGCGCCCAACTGACACCTTCTGCACCAGGTTAGGGCAGGGATGGGGAAGGGACAGGGGGTGTCTGAGGGGCAGATGTCCTCTGGGTAACCATCCCTACAGCCCGTCACTCCCTTTCAGCCCGTAATCCTTCTGGGAACAGGACCCTGGGCTGACAGCTCAGCAGAGAGGGTCAGGGGCCCTCACCTGAGACCAGGAGCTCCAGGGCATCACTGGGGTGTGAGCACACCTGGGGCCTGTTCCTGTAACAGCCATAGCATCTGAAGGTCCCCCTGTGGCTGGGGGTCACGGGGCCCACAGGGAACAGGGCCTGGATCTGCCCACTGGGCTCTCGCTGTGAGTCAAGGGCCCAGGAGAGCCTGTGATCTCCTTCCTCAGTCAGAATGAACCTGTCAAATCCCTGCCCTGAGCCACACTGGAGGGTCACATTTTCTCCTGAGGTCACCACAGAGCTGGGCAGCGCTGAGAGGCTGGGTTTGCGGTAGGATCCTAGGAGAGGAAGGGGCAGCATATTAAATGGGGCTCACACCTCCCTCATGTCTCCCAGGGCTGGGCTGTGAGAGGGAGACACCCTGAGAGCAGACCCCCTTCCTGAGGGCAGAGCCTGAGGCTGGGACCCCTGAGTGTCCTCTCACCTGTCATCATCACCACCAGCTTTAGGGGGTCACTGCGCTCTGACACCCCATGGGACTTTGATAGTAACAGTGATATATCCCGGCATCATACTCTGTCATGTGTGTGATGGAGAACTTGGCCTTGTCCCCTGGCTCCCATGGCTTCTCTCTTTTCCCTTGTGCTGGGTTTCGGTCTTTCTCCAGATGGTACTCCTCAGCGCCTGGGGTCCCCTCACACCAGATGGTCACGGGGCTCCCCCGGGGGATAACAGGGCCTGGCTCAGCCCAGAGGGTGGGCTTGGGGAGGGGCCCTGGAAGGAATCAGAGGCTGGGTCACAGGACAGTCCCACCCCAGGCCCCCAGCTCTCAGTGCCCTATGCCCCCCGTCTGTGAGAAAGGTCCTGCCCCTGGTGCTTGGGGGTGTCCCTGGTCCCCAGTGAGGAGTGGGACCAGGGACACCTTGGGAGACTCACCTGCCTGCACTGGGGTCCTGAGGCCCACACTCAGCCCTGAAAGAGAGTCCCTGTGAGAGTTTTGCCCTGAACCCTGAGCAGCACCCTCCTCACCATGAGCCTCCTGAGTCCTGGGGTCCTGACAGACCAGGTGGCCCCTCCCCCCTCCCATCTCACCGAGGCAGAGCAGGGCCCTGAGGGTGGGGGTCATGGCGTCTTCTCCCTGTGGCCTCAGCTGAGCAGATGGAGGAGATCCTGGGGCCAGCAGTGTGGACACGGAGACGCACGGGTGTTGGTCACTTGGAGGCCGATCCTCCCCGTCACAGGGTTGTCATGTCACCAGCCTGCAGGCGAGGGCACAGCCTCTCTCTATCAGCCTGGCTCTCATTTTCATGGTGAAGCAGGAAATAGACCCGGAGCCTCCTGAGAGGCCCCTTGCAGGTGAGGTGACCCAGGGCATGTCCTTCCCTGTCAGAGCCTCCCCCACGGGGTCTCCTTCCCTCTCAGCCCGTCCATCAGCACCTCCCTGCCTTCCTCACCATGGACAGTGCCACCTTGACCCTGGACATGCTTCAGGAAGACGTGGGTCCCTGTGGCCTGCAGAGCTCAGATCAGCAGGCACACGCTCACACTCCAACTGTGCTGCTCAGGGCGATGTCCCTGTGACAATGAGCACAGAGGGACATGCAGGGAAATAAGGGAAGGAAACCAGTCTCCCGCTCTGGCCCCAGAGTGTGTTTCTCTTCCTATCCCAGCCCCTGGCCACTCCCCTTTCTTGCAACAGCATCCACCCCAGCAGCCTGGGAACTCGCCTCTTAGTCCCTCTGACCCTCAGTGCCTTGTTCCTCAGGAAGATCTCTCCTCCTCGTCCTGGGCCCCTGTTTTCACAGTCAGTGACAATAAGTGTTTCATTGCTCCGATTTGAGGAACTAATCGAATTCTTATTTTTATTTTCAATATATATTTTCATTGATTACAGAGAGAAAGGGAGAGGTAGAGAGGGATATAAACATCCATGATGAGAGAGAACAACTAACCGGCTGCGTTCTGCATGCCGCACATGGGGGATTGAGCCCGGTGCCCTCAGGGAGAATCAAACCTCGACCTCCTGGTTTATAGAATGATGCGCAATCCCTGAGCCATGCTGGCTGGGCTGATTCTTATTTAAATAATCCTCCCTTGTCCATTAGGTATTTGACCTTCACCCTCAACGTACAATCTCTTGAATCTCAGTTTCCTCTCATGCAGCATGTTGTCAAGAACCCAACTCCTTAGAGTGGTTGTGGGATTGTGGAGGACCTGGAGGGAGCCATCCTGGTTTATTTCCACACCTGACTAAGCCTGTGAGGTGAGTCATCAGCAGTGTTGTTCAGAACTCCGTAGGAATTGGATGGTTGTTATACCCACGTACAAATCCCATCTGCTCCTGATGCTGGAAAGGCTATGCACACTGTTTCTGAAACATGTGGCCACCCTCAGTGCCCAAAAAGGGAAGTGGAAGTTCCCCAGATGGAGAGGGAAGGAGAATAGACAATGGGGCCAACCTTGAGTGGCTACTGTGCCTGGGTGCAGCCAGAAGTCATCAGTGTGGAGTTTCCCACCTCCGTGTGGACAAGAGCAGTACCCAGGGTGGACACACACAGGGAGGGCATCTGGACTCAAGGTGAAAGTTGGAGCAGGGTTGCTCCCTCCACATGCTTTGGATACGGGCACTGGGGTCTCTGCCCACAGACCCAGCCCATGGTCAGCACTGAGCCACACCTCCTGTGTGTGAGTGAAACGGATTCAATTTATTCTAGCCGGGCATGGGCGTCTCCCCAGGTGTGAGTGTGAGGCTCACCTTTGGCGTGGGCCCTGCTGGGCACATCACAGTCAGATGCTAACTTAGGGAGAGTGGATGCCACAAGGCAGGGCAGATCCCATCGGCTGATGGGAATGCAGTGGTGGCTGATGGGAATGGAGTGGTGACTGATGAGAATGGAGTGATAGTTGATGGGAATGGGGTGGTGGCTGATGGGAATGGAGTGATAAGCTGATGGGAATGGAATGTTGGCTGATGGGAATGGAGTGGTGACCACAGCTGCCAATGAAAAATGTGTTCTGGATTTACCAGTGATAGACACTCTAAAGAGGAAGATCTTTGGACTCTAGAATCAAGGTCACTTGCAGATCCAGGTGCAGATACAGACTTGGATTTGATTCCAGTTTGATATTTTTGTTGGCAGTGATCCTTTCAAGGATGATCCTTTTAGGAAAATTGGTCTATTTGGAGGTGATCCTTCAAGAGTTCAGATCCATGTACATCGAACAGCTTTCTCAAGCAATCTTCTCTTGACCCTGTGGCCACATCTGGTGTTGAGTCTTTCAGTGCAGCCAGCATTAGCAGTGACTTTTAGGTAGAAACAATGAAGCACATCGATCCTACTGTTCTTGGTGGATTTGTTGTTGCAGCTAAGAACTTGCCCTCAGACCCGGTTGCTTCTGATTTTGGAGTGGAATCATGTGAAGATGGATTTGCTGACTTCAGCACATTGTCAAAGGCCAACAATGAGGACCTTTTTAGTTCAGCCAGATTCATGTCATCATTACACAAAATGTGTTTGAGAAAGTGTCAGCCAACAGTGAGGATGTACCCCCAGCCCTGTCACCAGAGATCAGAACTCCAGCCACACCCTGCTCACCACCACCTGGGAAAGACCCAGCAACAAATAGGATTCTTCCCATCCCTTTAAACTGAACGATTGAGTTCAGCCTTTCCCAGGCAGTGACTGCCTCAATGAGAAGGATGCTGATGTGTTTTGGGTTCCATCCACTTCTGCTACTACTGCCACTACCAATAGGGAAACTGGCCCAAGCAATTTTGTTAACTTACCCTTTTTTGATGAAGAAGATGTGATTGAATGGGCCAATTGGGAATGAATGTGAGAGAGAAGAGCCGAGACTTGCTCAACTGAATCAGCAGGAGTAGGAAGACTTAGCACCAACTATTGCACCCAGCACTTCTGAGATTCAGAAGCAGGAAGAATTCTCCTGTCCTTCGTCAACCATATAATATTCTTCTTCTTGAACAGTGAAGCTATTTTGTTTATATCAAAACTACCTGTGAGCGTGGGAATCCAAAAGGCTTGAGATTGCTGTAAATGTGAAATCATAATAATGACTCACAGTGCCATGAAAGACTATCTACAGAGTGATTAATGGGGGTTATCATGGAAACCACTCAAAGAAACAGAAGACTAGGAATACATGAAACTCATTTTAATTGAAGAATGTTTAAAAATCTGACAATGAAAGGACAGAATTGATTTCTTGGGAAACAATAGGTCTCATAGTAGAGAATTATATGTCTTGATATTCATAGCTAGTGGGGCAAAGTGATGGGAGCTCACGTTCAAACAGAAACATAATGCCAAAAGTTATGTGAAAAGTCCGTTCAAATACTTGATGGTGAATGAAGAATCCTGTACTCACCCACATTTTTATTAGAAGGCTAAGGTGAACGTGTCAGAGGGGAGAAATCCACGAGTTTGAGAAGAGAGAGGCACATCTGACCCTATGAACTCACATCTCATATGTTACATTCACCAGGTCAGCTTCTGACTTCAGGAGGGAGGAGGCTGCTTGGGTGGTAGGTCCTCAGCCATCAAAGACTTTCTCTCTCCTTGTATTTGAATTATATCCTCTCTTTGAAATAAAACATGTTCTCAAGTGTCTTACTGGAAATAAGACATTTGCAAACTTACAAGGTGTCTATTTTTTACACACTGACTAAAAGCTCACTAAGATAGTAATTAAACCAACAGCACAACAGACAAGAAGTAGAGACAGTGAGTTGTAAAAGTGAGAAAAGTAATGGCCAAATTAATAAACTTTGAAAAAGTATATTGGCACATACATTCACATATACATTATTAATTAAGAAAGCTTAAATAATATTAGGAGTGTGTGTGTGTGTGTGTTTGAGACACATGAACACACACAGCTTTTGGAATTTGGTACAGAGTTCAGCTAACGTGTAGTGACATTTTCTCATCTAAAGAAGAGAGTGAATAAAAAATGGTTCACAATTATAGATATAAATACCAATATTAACAATGGTATTTATTATTGTTAATAATAAAAACATACAATTGGAAATGCATGTATAACCACCAAACTGGTTGAAGTAAATATATAAAACAAATAAATGTGAATCAATTTTAAACTGGTCTGGAAAATTTTTGAAAAAGCTACTTAAAATGAACCGTATGTACTACTTAAATAAAATGATGCCAACAATGTTGAATTTTTTTTTCTTTAACAAAATATTAGTACTTCTGGTCAAGATAGCAGAAGAAGTAAAGGAAGTACTGAAATCCTCCCATGACCACAGTGAAGAAAGTAAAGGAAGTACTCAAATCCTTCCACAACCACAGCGAAATCACAATTAAACTAAAGAACAAACATCATTCAGAACCACATGAAATCTAGGTGAACAGAAGTTCACAAGTAAGGATACAAAGAAGCTATATGGAGATGGTGGGAGGGATGGAGATGTGCAATGGGCTGGACCACATGGAGCAGATATCAGGACTTTTCTTTTTAGACTTTGTTCTTCTTGGTTTAAAAATAATGCCACAGCCCAGCCAGTGTGGCTCAGTGGTTGAACATCGACCTATGAACCAGGATGTCACTGGTTCAAATCCTGGTCAGGGCACACGCCTGGGTTGCAGGCTCCATGCCCAATAGGGGGCATGCAGAAGGCAGCTGATGTTTTTCTCTCCTCAATGTTTCTATTGTCTATCTCTCTCCCTTACTCTCTCTCTAAAATCAATAAAAACATAGTCAAAAAAGGAAAAACAAAATAAAAACCAACCCCAGGGTTATGAAGTATCACATTTTGTGGGATGGATGTGGCCCAGAATCAAGGGGTGTACAGATGTGAATCGAAACCAGCCATGTGGGATGGACCCTCATGTCACAGGGTGAGAACAGAAGGGCAGTGGAGGAGAGTGAGCGAGGACAGAGAGGGAGGGAGAGCACCCCAGGTGGATGGAGGAGGGGTCCTCTACAGGGACATGGCCCGTGTTCTCCTGCACCCAAACATCGCCTACCACGTCTTCTCCCCTGGACGTTCTCAGCAGACAGTTTCCCCAACTGTGGTCCACATTCTCTTTCAGCACCTCCTGGGGTCATCAGATGGGCTCCAAGGCTCTGTCACTCTGAACAGTACATTGTTCCCTCTGTGTTCACATCCTGGCTGCATTGAGGAACCTTCTGGTGTCTTTTCGAGCCTGAAATAGCAGCACCCCGAGGACCACCAGGACCAAGCCAGCCATGCCCATCCGGATGAGATTCTCCACTG